TGGCAGGGAGGACCCAGTCAGAAGTGTTAAATGCTTGGTTCAGCAGGTCCTGTCAGCAGGTATGGCCTGGAGGGAACTTGTTTATCCAGCAGAACGATCTCATTATGAGGACAGTGATGTAGTGTGGTATACCTCATACCTCAAAGCTTCTGATGGAAACCACTGTGTGAATGATATTCATCCCTAGTCTGTGCATTCCATGATTATGAGTAGCAATAACTTGAGGCATATTAAAAAAAAAATAGATATCGGCAACAGAAAACTATACAAAGGAAAAAAAAATCTAGCTTTTGAATAATTCAGATATTTTCCAATTTATAAAATAATAGGAATGTGAGTGACTGCTGGCTGATACAATAATGGATATGTAAAAGAGACACTGGAAATGCAAACCTATACTCCCTTCTATAACTGTTTTATTTCAGTAGAGCCTTCGTGATTTACTCTGTGGCTGTACATTTCCATACGGTGCATGGAGAGAACACAACAGGCATATAAATATACAATGATATATATTCTCTTGTCACCACAGTTCTTAGATAATGTATAAATATGAATGAGTATACTTAAAGCTATCATGAAGGAAATGAATTTAATTTTGACTTGATATGTGGAATAAATGGAAAATATATATCCAGACCAAAATATACTCAAAGTCATGGCTTCTGTAATAACAGATTTGATAGCAACATTTGAAACCTCAGTGATACTGATACATTTTGCATGTGTAATAAGTACAGTTCTCTATGTATGCAGCTCTCCAATTAGGGTAATGTTACCATAATGGCCCTTTGATCCAATGGAGGCACAGCACAAATAGGCTTAGACTGTTGCTGTTAATGAAATCCTTATTCTCTGCTGTTCTTATGAATTTGTCTGCGTGCTAGATTTATTCCTACAACAGATTATACAAGGTGCAGAAGAATTGAAACTTGTTTGTCTGAAGGCAATTTTCAGTGCTGATTTCTAAAGAAATTGCAAGATTGACCGAATAATGTTACCCTTGTTGACCTGTTGAAAGATTTACGAACGGACTTTAACACGAATTCAGTCAGGCTTTTTCAAATACTGTAGATATTTTTATGGCTCAAGGTAAGTTCAAGCAGCCTTCAATTCTAGTGAATTCAATTATCACATATTTTGGTTCAGAACTCTGATTTGTTTGACCTTTTTCTGTTTGGAGATCTCTACAAACATACAATTTAAATGTGTGGATTACTGAAAATTGCTTAATGTGAGAGACATAAAGAATAGTAATGTAAATAAAACTTATTTTTGTCTTCACTTACAAAGCCTTTACAGTGTAACGAAAAGCTATCAGTGTGAAAGACATAGAGCTGATGAAAATGAATCATGAACATATTAGTTGGCAGTAGCATGGAATATTAGTGAACCAAACTGTGATGTGTTCAACAGTCAGGTGGGATGCAAGTGTTATAGCCCTGAGAGTAGTCAAGGAGTATTAGAGTATCTAAACATTTAAATGTCTCCAGTAAATGCCTTGCCGTTTAAGTGGATATATTCTAGGTTGCTGTTGCAAATGAGAATTTGTTCCTATTGTAACTGAACAGAACTGTATTATTATGTAGTGCACTTTCCCTGAATTTTGTCACGCACTCTAGATGGTTGTATCTATATATACAGTGTATATAAGTGACAGGTAATGGGTTTATTCCATGTTGAAAAGAAAAGAAAGGAAACACAACGTTTCAGCTGTGTAGCGTTTTTGTATATAAGTGTTCGTGTATGTACATACTGTATGTGCTTTAATCTTGACATTTTATTCTTATTGATTAATTCTCTCTTAGAATAGTTTATTCATCACATATTTGGTAGGCATACATTTTATTGCTATTAAACTCATTTTTTGCGTTTACATAATACTGTAGGTGAATTTCGTGACACAATGATACCTTGCTGTCTATTATGTACAATATTTGTAGTGTTCTGCATTTGTGTGGATTGTTTTACAATAATATACTGTACTTATCTTAAAATGAAATTGGCTGTCACTAGCTCTCACTAGGTTACACCAGATCCTACATTAGCAAAGGTAATTGATTGTGCTTTGAGTATAGGATGTTTTTGATTATTATTAATTATACAGTAACTATTTAAAACTGCTAGTGTTATTATTGTATAAAACATTTATCTTTTCTGTTTAAAAGAATGTTGTTAAGACATTTTATTTTTCAAATTACAAAAAGAAATGCTCATTCATATGTACGTTTACCAGTTAACTGGAGGACCAAAAGTGAATTAGATGTATCACATTGCCATCTTCCTTCATTGCATTGTTCACCACCTAGTTCTCTCTTGCAAAGCAATAGAATTGATCAAGGATTATTAAACCTTTTGAAACAACAGCAGCAATGAGTTGACAATATCAAGACTTTGAGTAAAGGATTCTATCTACAATGATTGTGTCCTCCCCCTATAAAAACTGCATTATATTGATTCTATAAAAGAACGATTTTACTTTTCCACCAAGAGTACAGTAACGGGTTTCTCATTTTAATTTCAACATTGATTGTGTTAAAATATTTTTTAAATGTTTCTAGATAAAGTATATATTTAGTACAGATCCAGATTTAAAACGTTTTGTTTTCGTTTTAGATTTTCTTACTGGACCCACATTATGTAGCCTCAGCAAAAATTGAAAGTGATGAACACGAGACAAAAAATTAATAACCTTTTAAATGTTATCAGTTTTTAAGTAGTGCATGCTCTCAAAATACATTCAGATAAGGTTTGAAAAGTGCATGGATTGACACTGCCATTCCAGACTGGACATTCCATGTTATCCCTGTGGCCCTTTTTAAAGAGAGAACTAACTAGTGTCTTTGCCAAGCTTGGCAATCCAATTTTCTCTAGTAGGCCAAAGACATGCTGTCTAGGTTGATTTCCATATTCTGAATTTGGTTTATTTCCACACATTACTTTGCATGTGTGTGCCTTGAAATTGACTTTTAACCCACACAAAGTCTACTCTGGTTTGCACTCATTGTCTGCTAGGTTACCCTCCAGCTATCCACAGTATCACCTATGGCCTAAACAGAAATTCAAAATGAGATCATAAAGCAATAAGGTTACAAACAAGAGTATGTCATTCGGCCCATCTAACCCATTTGGGTTAAATCCATTGGTTTGACTCTCAATACTTCTGAAGATTTTGAATACTTGAATCAGGGTATTCAAAATCTGAAGACAAAAAAGGATCAGTTCCTTCAGCCTGTCCCAGGCTGGTATCAGAATAAAAGAATCAGAATGTACCTTATCTTGGTCCACCTGCCGGACTGATTCCAGAGCAGCAATAACTTTTTTATTATAAGGTAACCAAACGTGTTCACAATATTCCATATAAAAGCATAATGTTGGATTGTACAGTTATAAGGAAAATATCCTTGATTTAAATTCTACGCTTAATTCTACATCACTTACTTCAATCTACATTTAGTTGTATAATAATGTGCTTGCCTTTTTATTGCTTCTCCATATTGACTAGAAGCAAATGATATGTCAGCATAAACACCAAAGTTTTATTTTCTATTAGCAACCTCTTCATGCTCAGGGATGGAAAATATGCAATTGAAACACCTACACTTTTTATTTGAAAACAGCAAGTTTTGTTGAATACACTATTGAGAGAATAGCAGATTAATTAATTTCAAGTTGAGAACACTGCAGTGAGTTTTTGCTCAGTTCATGTAGAGCTAAATACTGAATGTGTGGTATTTCCCTGAATATTGATAAATTCATTCAGCTACAAACTGGTGATGCTTTCCTGACCTTATTATTGTATTTCTTTAATTTTTAAACAGGATCCATTGGGTCTTCAGTATTATATTGACAGAAATTAAACAGAATTAAATCTGTGAACAGCAAGCAATTGTCTTGCAGTTACTATATACAGTACCTGCATACATGAATGATTTTACTTTAAAAGTTATACATCTTTTGTCAAACGTTAGCCTCTTGAATTTGATTTTATATTTTAACATATAAGTCCTGTTTACTATTACTGTTCAAATATCAAATGATACAGTACATGCACACACATTGAATGCAGAAAGTTGTTACAATTCCTTAATTTAGAACTCATTTTTATTGTATTTACAGTATAAAGCTGAAATTAAATGTGTATTTTCCCAGAGCATACCATAATATAACTGTAAAATATAGATAAAATAAGCATTTTCTTGCAAAAGTGAAAATACTTTATATTTGAATTATGGCTTAATATACCAATAATTTCCTATTTGTATTCACTTTATACTGTATCCAATAAAAAGATTTACCACAAGACATACATTAAGCATGAATTAATGAGCAACTGGAGCTTAGTTTTGTTATCATTTAGAATGGCAATGAAAAATACATTAAATTTGAATGACTGAGCTTTATTTCTTTTTAAATTATTGTGGGAAAAATAGTTTCTAAGGGATTTAGAACAAAACTTTTGTGGAATGGAACAAATATTCTAAAAATGCAAATGTCAAAATATACCTAGTATCTATCATAGAAACACACAGTAAATGTTCTCTTGTCAAGTACAGTAAATGTCTAAGGGGTTTTCCTGATGAATGTTTGAATTTTATGCAGTATCAAAAACTGAATGTGTCTAAATGATTGTCACGAAAAGCAAAGAATAAAAAAACTATTAAAAACATTCCCCCAATGTGACATCACCAAAATATCATTCTGATGAACGTTGGTCTTCACTGATGAACTCATCATTATAAGGTTACAAAAGTAAGGTTAAGAAACATTAGTAAGGTTAAGAAAAAGGCCATACTTTGTTGTGGTGGAATTAGATGCACTACAATACTAGATATTTTCTAAAGCTTGTAAGTAACTAAATTATAGAAGAATGTACAGTAAGGAACTGCAAAAATAGTGCAATTTATTTTCTTTCTTATTTTTTCTTTAGTAATGCAACAGTTCTGTGTATTGTTAATATTTAAAGGTTCATTCTTGTTTATTTTTTTCTTGATTTGCAGTTGACGGATGCACAGACTGGTCTGTGGACTACTTGAAGTACAAAGTGCTTTTGGGAGAACCAGTGCGAATTAAATGTGCATTATTTTATGGATATATTAGAGCAAACTACACTCATGCGCAGAGTGCAGGACTGAGCCTAATGTGGTACAAAAGTACTGGACATGGGGACTTTGAGGAGCCTATACCATTTGATGGTGTTAGGATGAGTAAAGAAGAGGATGCAATATGGTTTCGACCAGCAGAATTACAAGATGTTGGACTCTATGCCTGTGTTTTAAGGTAAGTCAATAACAGCTTACTTGTTACTGTAATAGCATGGGCAGTACAAAATTACATAAAAGACGACTGAACAATTTCTGTGGGGGAACTTGTTTTTAAGGTGCTGTAAAACAGCTCAACAAATTAATTTTTCTTGATATTAAAAAAATTATGACATTGGCATGCCTTTTTCTTAATTATAACAATACAAGGTACACCAAGATCTAGAAATGTCACAGGTTTTCTTTGAAACTGTTCCAAAAGATTTTCCTAGTATAATGGTTTGGGAAACTACAGTAGTAGCAGGAATGACACCCTATTAATCATGCTGCCTTCCAAAGGCCTACTTAGCTACTTTAAATCTCCAGACAAGATTTCAGTGGACAAATGTCCATGCAACAAAAGGAGACTGGCACACCTGATATGCAAAATTAAATTTTAATTTGTCTTTGGGGAGCAATAAGAAATTAAGTGGCACTGGCAGATACATAATTCACAGGTCTCCCCTTTCACATTTTCTATCACATCCCATATGGCTTGGGGAGTGGATAAAACACGACAACGTTTGCAAATGAGAGGAAACCTTGATAGTTTGGTTGCAGTTGATACAAGACAAGTTGATACAAGACACTGAAAGGGGTAGGAAAGTCCACTTCATATCAATAAGGATCTCCTCTTTGTCAGGGAAGCATGGCAATATCTGCGCTTTCCTTTTTAAAAAAAGTCAGTATTTTCTTCTATTTAATAACATATCCTATGCCATTAACATTCCATGTAATAAACTTAAGTGAACTCGTCATTGACAATTATAGAAAAGTCTAAAACACTCCAATACCTTACGCTATACATTAAATGAAGCTGCAAACCTGAGAGGAAAATAAATCGGAAAAAAAGAAACAAGGAAAAAGTATCCCCCGCCCTAAGCCTTATCCCCAAATGACTGGGCACCAACAATCAGAACAGGTCACTAAACCCGATCAGTAAGCAAGCCAATAGAGATGTGAACAGCGAACATATGAAAAAACCCACCTAACATGAAAAAATAAAAATGTAAAACAAGACTCGGCCTTAAATAACACACTAATATTAAAATACTTGCGTGATGCCAATACACCCTAATAATATATATATTGTAGTACTCTCGGGTTCACGTGGGTATGTGCCCTCACCCCTGCTGCCTCAGGTCGGCCCCCCACCACTGGGGACTCAAACCCGGGCCTCTGGCGTTACTCAACAGGGACCCAGCCAGTTGAGCTAAAGGGAGATCTCATGTCAGCCCGGTGGCTGCTGTTCTTGCTATTCACAGGGAAGGGCAGTGACGTAACCGCCCTGGTAAGCCAGCTCGCACAACCTCTAATGTCGGCCATATGCGTTACAATATGATACTATAACATTAGGACAATGACAGCTGCAAGTGACAATTTTTGTAAAAGTTGGAAAAGATGAATACAGCTAATTATGGTGTAGTTTTTAAGATATTTTCAAATCTATGCTATTACGATTTTCTCTGATTGAATGACTGTGAACATAAAGAGGCCTAGAGTCCAATTTCTCCTCTCCGTTTACCTTAGTCCACCAATTCCAAAAAGTTATATGAAGTATCAGTCTTTGATATTGTCCATAAATTCCTTCACAGAAGCTGGCGAGGAAAATACGTGTAGCTTTCCATTATTAATACAGCGCAGTCTGGCCGGCTAAGCAAATCCTCAAAACATATTCCTGTCAGCCAGGGATTTCCTCACTGCGTCAAACTCCTGTTGTTTCTCCATTATCTCCGCCAAGAGGTCCTGCTAGAAAAAGAGCCAGCTACCAATTTGTAGGTGATATTGCGCTTCCTCAGCGCAGCCCGGAGAATCTCCTCTTTGTCGGGGAAGCAAAGGAATTGAACCAACACAGATCTAGGCTGGTCATCGGAGCCGAGAAGAGGACCAGGTGATCTATGAGCCCATTCAATGTATATAATTTTATCCTAGGGAAAATCTACCCATTTCGGTAGCATTGACAGGAGGAATTTCGACAAGCGGAGTAGAACCCTCCGAGTTCTCCGGCAGGCCCACAATTTTAATGTTTTTGCACCGACACCTGTTTTCCAGATCATCAGTTTTATTTGTCATTTTCTCAATTTGCTGTTTCCAATAATCCAGTTGGGTTTTGTGCTTTTTTCCTAAATCTTCCATAGCGGAGATCTGATTTACGGCTTCCGCCATCCGCACCTCAGACGAGTAAACTCACTCTGTTAAATTAGTTGGGGAGTGAGATGATTGAAACAGCAATTGAGTCAATTTGGCCGTCGGTAGCGTCTTGGCGAGCACTGGGACCGTTTGAATGGCAGGTGGCGGCGGGTTTTCCTCAGAGTGGGAAGTTTTGTCCTTCTGTTCTCTTTTCTTTGAGGTACTCCTGTGTGCTCGTGCATTTGAATAAAACTGGAACGTCTTGCACCTCCTGGGTCCCTGACATGTTAGGAAAATGAATCGGTGGTGCAATTAGCAATAGAAAAAAAATAAACGGATGAGATTTAATAATATAAAGAAAAGGTGGAGCAGATCTCAAACTCAAGTGGGTCACGTGACACACCCCCTGTATGATCTTCTTGAGGTAATATGCTTGGCAGGACACCGTGACAGGGATGAAACAAGATATACTGTGGTCTAGGTTTGGTCAGTTGTGATTTTTTTTAACAATTATAACCAGGAAGGTTTTGAATCAGAGGGGAATACAGTCATGAGGAGTAAATTGTACAGGCTTAAAGAAAATAGGAATTGTAGCCTAGTTAATTTTCTGCCTATGGCAATGGAGACACTCCAGCCATAAAGCAGTACAGACTCAACTTGCATTATGAAACCAATGGAAATTTATAGTTGTTTTATATTTATTTATAGTACAGTTAGGTCTTAATTATTGTAGTACCTAATACTTATGTTAAGAGATTAACAGCTGGTGTTTACTTTAAACTATAGAATCGTGGTTTACAGAAAGATAATGGTAAAGCTCTTAATATTTTAATTCAAATATAAGACAGGTGTTTTTCTCTTTACATGTCTTTATACTCTGTTTAAGGTAAAAAGTTTACAAAAGCATTTCACGAATGCAATCCTACCCCACTGTGAAGATTTATACTTTATACTACATCCATCACATCTGTTTGTTTATACAGTATATCTTGTCTTGTTTTGTCTTTGTTTTTGATCAAACTCTAGCAGCATAAACAAAGAAATGAGTGCATCACAATTTCTGTGATAGCATCATTTACACAAGTGCTGTTCCCACTGGTGACCTAAATAATTATATTCAGCTAAAGTTCTATGATTTGATTTGTTATGCATTCTGTCAATTGTTTAAGCGTTTTGATATTTAAAGAGATGCTCCAGATAATAAAATCCATAAATCATCAAGCAGTTTGCATTCATAGTACTTTATTTAAATAAAATGTTATAAATATATCACACAATGATTAATTTATACAGCTACTTCTGCATTTAGCAATTATAAATCCTGGAGATGACATGATCCAATAGATAATGATACAATGGCAGAAGAGAGAGCTATGTGGGCTAATATCACACACTGCATTATACTGTATATTAAATAGAAATCTTACATAGTATAGATTTCTACAATGTTCATCATTTACTATCATTCTGTTTTTACTTTAAAAAACAGAATGACAATTGCTGACACTGCTATTTAAGTTATAAGCCATTGTCATGCTGCCGTGCATATGGACAACATGTACAGTACAGTAGTTGTTCTCGGAATAGAGAAAAAATCCCTTTTGCAATAGTTGAAATATCTAAAACAAGAGGAAATTATGACAATAACCACTGTATATCACCTAGTGAGCAACCACAAATAAAGGAACACATGAATGTAAAATTTGTATCCAATTACTAAAAAAATACAGTAGGTTAAAAATAAATATATATTGTGCTCTGCTTAGTTTTCTTAAAATAATTTAGAAATTAGTTGTACTGTGTCTGATTTAGCCTTTTCTTTGCTTTCTCTACATTATGCAGATCATGTGGTATTCTCTTAGTTGGGTCTATACCCAGTTACCTCTCAGCTATCTCAGAGATATTAATGTCATTGGCCTTTCATTGTTGGAATATAAGGAACTGAACTATTAAAAGTTAAGATCGCGTAAACATTGCAAATGGTTGTGGATCATCAAAAAGCACCAAATAAAGATGATGAAAGGAACTTAAAATAAGAAAGAAAGAGAACATAGACTCCTATCAATCTAAAATCAGAAGAAGAAGCTCAAAAATTCCAGATAACAGAGGCGTTATTTCTGAAGGTCAAGAAAAAATGTAAAAAAATCAGTTCCATTTTTCTTTCCTGTTATTTGATTTAATACATTTCATATTTAATACTGTACTATGGACAACAAATTCACACTTTTGACACTGAAAGATAGTTTTTAATAATTGTATCCTGATGCCAGATGTTCTTTAAGATTCCAAACAATTGCACCCATGGCTGAGTTGATCACTGAAACCACATTTACATCCTCTTCCTGGTAGGACAATCCTGGTAGAATATCTCATTAGCTTTGAACTTCTTCATGACAGAGAGAAGTGTTCATGCGAGAGAGAGATGAGAGAAAGGAGGAGTATGTACATATTTGTTATATGTATATGTACATTGAGATTCTTATTTGTGTCATTCTCTTGGGATATAACACAGCACATCAACATACAACAGGTAGTACAAAACAGTAAACATATAGAGACTTAGATACTGTATGTGGTAGCTAAGTAGAAAGTACAGAGTGCAGAGGTGTGTTTAAACCAACATGAGCCCAGGGAGACCCCACATATTCCCATTTTTTGTCTCATTTGAATATACTGTAGCAGTCTAAAGTGACTCCCGAATTTTTTTTATTACATTTTTTTCAGGGGGATATATTTGGAGGTGTATTTGCATTGCAATTAATTTTGCCTAAACAAAATATATATATGAAACCAAACAGAGGCATTTAATATGACCTGCTTTTCTGGTTTGCTTAATCAGTCACATGAATC